AAAACAACAACTGTTCGCTACAAAATACAAATTAATTATACTTACCTTTAATATTTCATCGAGAAGAACAGATTTGATTTCTAAGTCTTCAAAGTTGCAAATATATCCAGAAGTTTGTATAGGTTCCTTAAAGTTAAATAAGTAACAAAGGAATGAACTTGTATTCTGTCTCATTAAATCCTAACCAAATTCATTACGTATAACATAAAGAGACTTTCTTTGTCCCCTAACTAGGATTTAATTGCATTTCCAACAGGAAACAAATACTAAATCAGTAGCATTATTGACAATTCCATATACACAGACATAATTTAAAATCCTCCTGTTTTCTATAACTAAATTACGACAAAGAGGTAAAGGAACACTTGCCACACTTGCCAATGTTTAGATTCAACTGAACTGTGTTTTACAAATATCTGTACTGAAATTGTGTTTCATATACACATTTAAGAAAAATATGACAGCATTTTTATCTTTCCAAGACTGACAATTCACTTTACTTACTAGTTTCTAAACAGCAGTACCGTATGAGAGCTGACAAGATTTTGAGATTACCAGGAGCAAGTCTGAATATATTAACACTTGCCTAATTGAATGGTAAGCACAAGACTAATACTATTCAACACAGAGCCATTCACTTACAACAGGGTTTGTAAAATGAGTAGTTTACATATGTTAATATTTACCTCTGGATCCAAGTTTCTGAAAACATACATTCTTGTTTTCTCCATCATTGCAAACAGATCTGGGTTATCTTTGGCCCATTTCATATCCCAGACATCTTTGCGTTCCAGTTGCAGCTGCTCACCTATCATTTGCTGTCCTGTACTGGTTACTACCTTTGTATCCAAGTCAAAGAAAGTCAAAACACCTGAAAGGTCTATGACAGCAACACGACTGCAGAAAAACAAAGGAAGGAAAAATAAAAAAAGAAGGCAGCCAAATAATACTATTGAAGGTTGTAAACATGAAATAGTTCCCTAAACTGGCACATTCAGGCCAAATTTCCCCTCTAATCTAATACCAGTATAATTCCACAGATTCAGTGAGAATCATGTGATTTTCATTTATCTGCGCAGCAGAGAGAGACGAGAGACCTGGAAAGTTTTTCATCTCCTTATGCAGGATCTGGCCCTGCAAAGGTTCTGAAATATGCCCATTTTTCATCCAGCATTTTGAAGATCCTTAGTAGTTCAGATATCATGTTGAGTAAATTACAAGTTTTAACTCTCACCAAAGTTTCTGACAGAGCCTAAAATTAACAACAGAACTATTATTCATTATTTACTAGAAGGCAATGAAGCAGATTCTTAAAGTAAAAACACAGTGCAGAAATGTAAACTGTTAATCTCAAGAATAGGATTTCTTCTATTTCTACATAGTATTCTTTAAGTTTTTTTCCACACAACGTGAAGTATAATCCAATTAATCTTTGAAGTCATTTAAAATATGGGAAAATATAATTTCTAAGGGATTACACTTGAAAATTTCCAATTAAATACGTCTTCAGTGAATCATAGTAGTCTGTACAGTGCCATTTTAAATGCATTTATTGAAGGGTATTTAGACACCCTTAATCCCTATTAAAATTTCAAAAGCAATTTAGAAAGTTAACTTCAAAATACTTACGGATCTGAGCCTTTTTCACCAGAACAAAGTCATTTAGGAAGGCAACAGCTTGGGTTAAAAACAAAATCAGTGCAGCTCTGATTAGATCATGTTTTACATGGTTTAGTGGTGGTCTTGGCAGTCCTGGGGTAATGGCTGGACTTGATGATCTTGAAGGTCTCTTCCAACCTATGATTCTACATTGCCTTTTAAGTGAAGCCATCTATTTTTGGCCTATACCTAAAAAGGTGAGTGATCTACACATGCATTATGAATTTTGTTTGAATTTATGAAGTTATTTCGAAGTGATTAAAGTTGTCCTACAAGTTCTCTTTAGTGAGTATATTTTTGTCTTTTTTGCCAAGACTCTTGCACTCTCTCTTGCAAAAAAAAAGTAGCTGTTAAGTAGAAAGCATCTTCAGTATTGGCACTGCTGAAGCTTAGGAAAAACAATCTTTCCAGAAGCACTGCCACCAGCTACAGCTTGTAACAGCAGAAAATTAACATGGGATGAACAAAGTTTCCAGGCATCAGACAGACACAGAAATAGAAAGAAGCCTTAGAGATGTAAAATTTTAAGTTATACCATATTTTCATCAATTCATGTCATGGTCACATGAAGCTTATGTTTGGTTAATCTAGTAACACAAAGATACTTCCATATATGTTGCCTGAAACTTCACATACACACAGTAAAGAGTTTAAAACATAAGATAGCTTTACTAACACAGTCTCTCTGAGCAATCTGATGACTGGCTAGGTGTAATTAACTAGTAATAAATAAATGTTTAAGCAACTATTAATAACAACTACAATTAATAGTTTTTATTAAAGCTAAATGACTACACAGTTATTATAGAATCATAGAACTCATGTCGTATTGGTTTATTTTAAAACTGGATATCTGCACTTGAAGCAGATCCGTAACTTACCTGGAGTTACAGTTCAAAGACAGCTGATACGCATGACAGTTCAGGGTAAACTTCTGTACTATACCAACATTGGGAAGACTGTATCTCTGAAGAGTGCCGGACTCTCTTCCCTAGCAAAAAGCAATGCTTGCTTATTGAGAGAATTTTTACCATTAATAAACTCTTTAAAAAGGTTTTATTTATATGCTGTCCTAGAAAAAGAGTTTTTGCATAAGTGACAGAGCAGAAATGGAAATTGAGAATGTCATCAACTTGAAGGATCCAAATTCTTCTATTTAGAATCACAAATGGTTTGGTTTGGAAGGGACCTTAAAGCTCATCTAGTTTCAACCCCCCTGCCATGGGCAGCCCCCCCCGGCCGTGGGCAGGGACACCTTTCACTAGAGCAGGTTGCTCAAAGCCCCGTCCAACCTGACCTTGAACACTGCCAGGGATGGGGCAGCAACAGCTTCTCTGGGCACCCTGTGCCAGCACCTCACCATCCTCTCAGGAAAGAACTTCTTCCTAAAATCTAATCTCAATTTTCCCTCTATGATTTTAAAACCATTCCTCCTGGTCCTATCCCTACATGCCCTAAGGGTAACAAGTCCTTCTGAAGGCTTCTTGTAGACCCTTTTTAGGCACTGGAAGCTACTCTAAAGTCTCCCCAGAGCCTTCTCTTCTCCAGGCTGAACAAGCCCAGCTCTTTCAGCCTGTCTATATAGGAGAGGTGTTCCAGCCCACCAGTCATCTTTGTGGCCTCCTCCAGACTCACTCCAACAGGTCCACAACTCTTGTGTTGGAGGCCCCAGAACTGGATGCAGTACTGCAGGTGGGGTCTGATGAGAGGGGAGTAGAGGGGGAGAATCCCCTCCCTCGACCTGCTGGTCACACTTCTTTTGATGCAGCACAGGACCCAGTTGGATTTCTGGGCTGTGAGCGCACATTGCTGGATAATATTGTGCTCCTCACCAACCATATTTAAACAAATACTTTCTTAACCTCCTACAATTTACAGATCTGATTAAATCAGGACTGTTAAAAAAATAGCTAAAGTCCACATACAACCCACAGAAGAGTTTCAGGAGTTCAACAATTCCCCATGAACATTCAGACATGGTCTACATAACAAAAGAGAAGAACAGGCAAAAAATCCCTGTCCAATGCTGGTAGGAAGGTGGATAAAAATGTAAAAAGTGTTCTTTTTCTATCTTTGTTCTGCTCAGTTGGTTTGTTTTAAAGCCCACCCATATGTCTGTTCATCTAATGAGATCACTCTTCTCTCATCAGGAAAAAAAAGCACCAGCTGTTTGGCATGATACAGTACCTCACACATTGTCTATTTACATATTAATGGTACAAACTTTGTAAATCTTTGTGCATTTACATGCAGCGTAGAAGAGACTTCCCACAACTCAGATTACAGAATTAAGTTCAGACCTGGATTTTATCAAACCCTACATGTAAGCACTAACTCAGGCAACTAGTCTCTGCATAAATTCTAAGCACTTAGTGAGTCAGCCCTCCTAAATAAATAGTCCAGGTTAATGGAAGAACCTGTTAAAGTTATCGTTGAGGACACCTAGGAAGAGATTTTATCTGTGTAAATTCTAAATTCAGAAATGCTTTGAAATGATGACTGCCTATGAACACACTGCAGAAGAATCTCCTGTCTACAAGCAAAAGAGGCAATTAGGAGTTATTTTAATTATGTAACTTACCACAAGCAGCATCTTATCAGATGCTGTTATTGCACAAATTGGATCTCTTGTTCCCTGAAACTATACAAGTAATATGTTTCAGTTTTAATGCAACAGTAAGAATGCACTGATAAAGAAAGAAGTTTTATTTAAATACACAAGAATGTTGCTAAGTATCCACATGAAAAGTGGCTATTAAACCTTGTCAGCATACAGTATTTGGACGGCTTATAACATTAGTAGCCTTTCTTATGGGAATCATGACAATAATAATATTAAACAGCTTCCTTTCTTCCCCTGCCCCTCCTCCAGAAAAATACGAAACCCAAAATGTAACAGGTGTTTAACAGAAAACACAAGAAGGCAACTATCCCTGACTTGTGAGGCCAGTAATTTCAGGTACATTGGTAAATACAAAAGCAAGCATGTACATGCACACACACACATAAAGTGAAAAAGGGTAAAAATACTAGAAAAGGTTACAAGGGTTATTGAGTTTCAATGAGCTTATACTCTGATGAAGTAAGAGGAGCTGCTTCTTACCAAGAAACAAGCAGGTGTCCACATACTGGACCCAGAATATGCTTTTTCTATGTTCCCTACAGTTTGGTGTATATTTCCAGTAACACATAATGGCACAGTAACAACACACTAACCAGAGGGAAGAAAAATAACACTTATGTACAAAACAGCAGTAAAAGAAAGTTGAAGCATGACCATTTCTACTGATGAAAATCTGTGAAAGTAAATAAAGCAATACTTACTTTTCTTTTAAGCTACCAGTGACACCACAATAACTAGTTAAAACCATCACTCACTTCAATAGCTCTGCTGTAATCAAGGTGTCCACCTGCAGGTCCTGAAGGGGTATCATCAACATGATAAATCCTGTAGAAAAGGGAAGTTAGGAGAAAAAGTGTGCCCAAAGAAAAGATCATTTTTGATAGCATATAGGTATCCTCAATCCTTGGAGAAGAAACCATTGCAATTGGAAAAGAGGATAAAAGCTATGCCTGTTCTTATGTTCCAGTAGTATCCTCTTCAATAGCCCTACTTTGAATTGATATAAAGATATGGTACTTCTTTCACTTTCACTGCCTCTGATGGTCTATTCCCATGTGATCTACAAACTTTCATTCTGCAACAAGAAATTCCTGCAAATCATCAACCACCCCAATTATCCCTTTTCAAACATGCACTTCCATATTTCCTCAGACGGGCTCTTCTACATACTTGTGAAGAACTTCATACCCACAAAATGTATGTATTACTATATTCAATACTTCATCATGATTTCTCTTTTGCCTTAAAAAGTAGCATTAGAAAAGATCTTACAATATTAAAATCATAGTTTACACTGAGTTACAATTATTTACTTTTTCAGCATTTCTATCAAATTCGGAATCTTGTCCAAGGCTAGGACATTCAGGTACTAGAACAATGTTAGTTATTACACCATGTACAAATAATTACTCATTATTATGAATATATGGTGACAGGAGACAGTGGATTTATAGAAAGCTATAGCATCTCTAAGGAAGAAAACATAAAATAACAAAAAAATCATAACAAAGTTGCAAGCTTGTGGAGGTGACAGAAAAGTTAATGCCACTAATGAGGACCTGGGAAGGAAGCATTTTGGAGGCAAGAAGATATTGACTTTGGCTTGTTTAGTTTGAGAGGATAAATGTCCATACAGGTTTATACATCAAAGATACACTCAGGCACGAGTGTATTTAGGCAAGAACTAGCTGGATAGACTATGTCCTTAAAGCCACTGATACACAAGAAGAAGTTAAAGTTATCAAAGCTATATAGCTGTCTAGAAACTAAGAGTACAGAGGAGAAAACAAGAAGGGGAAAAAAGCATGTAGACAAACAGCCCTGTAAGGGAAGCACACAGCAAGCAAATGAAAAGGCACATAAAAACAAGGTGCTTGGCGACAGCTTCACTAAGGGCAAATCCTGCCTGATCAATTTGGTGGCCTTCTATGATAGGGCTACAGAACTGATGGACAGGGGAAGAACAGTTGACGTCATCTACCTGGACTTGTGCAAAGTGTTCAACACTGTCCCACATGACATCCTTCTCTCTAAACGGGAGAGACATCAATTTGATGGTTGAGCCACTCAGTGAATAAAGAACTGGCTGGACAGCCGCACACAGAGAGTTGCGGTCAACAGCTCAATGTTCAACTGGAGACCAGTAACAAGTG